TTGAACAGCTTCGAGTTTTACTTGGGTTAATATTTACTGCTTTATCTCTTTTTAGACAGCTGCTGGTTACTGTTTTAGATGGGTGATTAATGTGCTTTATGGTGCTTGTTGTTTCTTAAAACTTTTAATTTATGTTGTAAACTGCCTCAAGAGCCTTTCTACCAGTAGAAAAGCTGGGTGTATATACATACCGTGAACAAACAAAACAAAATACCTGTTAAAGAAGGCAAAGGTGCAATAGAGACGCTGGACCATCTTTTATTATTCTGCCATCAGTTGTTAGTCCCCAGATCCCTCTGGATTATCCCTGCTTTGTTTAAATATCAACTTTCTCTAGAACCTTGGAGCCTGGGTGATATCCCCATATCTTTGTGTTTTGTATCTTTGTTGTGTATTGTATATTTTATTGCTGAACTTTTATTGCTGAATGATTGGTTGTTTATGAATAGTTTATGTATGTTTTAACTGTATTTTTATATATGCATTTTATGCAAGCCGCCCTGAGCCCGCCTTGGCAGGGAGGGGGGGTATAAATCGAATAAATAAATAAACAAACAAACTCTGTTTTAAGGCCAGATACTGAAGCTGAAGCTCAAATACTTTGGCCACCAAATGAGAAGGGAGCACTCACTGGAGAAGAAGGCCCTGATGCTGGGAAAGATTGAAGGTCAAAGAAGAAGGGGACGGCAAAGGATGAGATGGTTAGACAGTGTCACCGATGCAATGAACATGAAATTGAGCCAACTTCAGAGGAGGGCGGAAGACAGGAGGGCCTGGCGTGATGTGGTCCATGGGGTCGCGAAGAGTCGGACTCGACTGTGTGACTGAACAACAACAACGTAATGTTTATCTCGCCTGTGTTATTAACTTTGCAATCCTATGGCTAAGATTACCGGTCAAATGAGCTAATAAATAAAAGGAAAGGTAAATTAGGCAAAGGGTGGTCTGTATCAGATATTCAGTATGCAGGAGCCAAACAGAAGTCAGGGGATGTCTACTCCTGAAAAAAACTTCAAAAATATTTTAAAAACCTATGCCTAGACTGTTTTTTTACGTGCAATTATGGAGCCATGGACAAGCATAGCATGGTACCGTGAAAGAAAAGGGATGATTCACTGTTAGTTGGTTTACCACAGATACACTTGGTATATGTGAATATTGGTTTTACTATCAGTGGCTCCCATATATGTTAATGGATTTGGCTTTTGCTGCTTTGCTTTAATCTGTGGGTTGTACTAAAGTTGTTTATTTGCTTAATGCTGAAATTTCATGCAGTCAGTCTGCAGTTTTGAAAAATGACCACTTAATTGTCCTTGTGTTGTAAAGCTGGCTTGAGTCAGCACCACGTCGGTCAGTGATCTGCGGGACAGCTCCAAGTTGATTTTCAGCACTGCTTAGCTCAGAGGCCCTCCGTTGCCAGCCGCCAGGCAGGGGATTCCAGGAGTTCGCAATCCAGAACTCACCCTGGTTCCTCACTTCAGCAATGTTGATGAGAAACACCACTTCCTCCAGGGAGCAATGTTCATCTCCCTTAGCCATGTCCAAATTTCCTAGCTAACACTTTTTTAAAATAACAAACTTCCTCATAGTCCATTGCAAGCTCTGCACACAGGGTAACATACCCACAATTGTTATAACTGAATTCCAGTTCATAGATCCCGACGCTAAGGCCACCATGTATAGGATTCTGCCCCTCAAGCCTGTCCAGGAATGAGAGGGAATCCTATACTTTTACAATACATTAAACAACAACCCACAAAGGTAGGCTACCCTCTCTGGATTCAGAATAAGCCACCAGAACCTCTTTTAACTAGAGTCCCCTTCCAGCCTAAGAGCAAGGTTCAGACTCTTAGCTGGCATCTGGGTTTTACACATTAGCACCTCTATCTCGAGATGCACGATTAATTCTTACAAAGGTAGCTCATAGGGTGAGCAGAAGGCACAGGAGTTTAGCCTTGAAACTCAGTTACACATCAGAGACCATTTAAAAACAAGAATAAGTTTTTATTCAACATAGAGCATTGCAATTAGACCATAAAGATTTCAAAATAACAAGCCTAAGGCAGTTTGCCTTAACTCAACATTAATGCTTCATATTTACCATTTCAGGAACATCTACAGTCCAGGGTTCCAGGGGATCTTGAAGGGAAAGCCCATTTTTGCACACCATGTGCTCCAGTTACTAAGCAGGTTTTTGTTCTCCCAGAGACCACATGTCCAGGTGCAATAAACCAACAAGTAGGGAGCAGAGAGCTCACGAACAGGAACAAGAACACAAGAGCAGCAGAGAGAACCGAACAGAACAAGAGCAAGAGAGAGACTCTCTCATAGGGAATGACCAATTATAGGCCAATTCCAGTCACAATCAGCTGTGGCCACACAGCCAACTGCGAGTGGGCAGGGGGGTGGCCAATTCTTGGTTGTCATGGGTGCAAGTGGGGATAGGCTGGACGTCTGGAGACTCCCTCTGCAGTCAGGTGACCCCAAACTCCAGTCTCCCCATCGGCTACGTGACTTTTTGCATGCTGGCCTAGCTTCCCGCATGGAAGTGTGAAGAATGTGTGGTTATATGGCAGGGTTATAAAGTTTCTCCGCCCAAATGTTCAGGCCACTTGGCTGGCGACAGGAAATACAACACAGCAGGCTATCAGCAAGACATCCCAGGGGAAGGCACGGGCTTTTAGAAATCAATATTTCTATACAGATGGTATGGAAGGCAGATATTTTCAATGCATTTTTAAAATGCAGGTAACATGTGAAGAAGGAGCCTGAACAGGCCCCGTGTATCTTATGCCCATCTCTCCTGTCTCTCCTTCACTCTGTGCATTTGTGAATGGGTACTGAGAGAACCTTTGGCCAACTGCATCAAGAGAAAGGATGATGTTATTTCTTGATCCAGTACAACATTGGCTAGATAAATTTTATTGGTTCCAGTGAAATGAACATGTGCTACTGATACTGAGGTACTCTGAAGATAGTCTGCAATGAGAAAGAAAGCTAGGAATCTCATCAGTGGTCTTTATTGGCACATTGTAAAGCTGTAATTACATTTATGTACATTGTAAATGTTGATAGGATAGTTGGGACAGAATGCACTGTTTCCCTGCTATATGATTCACTTCTTCATATGTTGAAACTTTTTGAAAATTTGTTAAGAAATTTTCTGCTTCCCACCTCTGTATGATCGGGATGTTATTGTTTTGAAAGCTATTACATGACTGTGAATAACTGCTAAAAATAAGTAATACATTTTTAACTCTACAATTGGACTTTAATGGAAATACAGACCAAAGTGAACTTTTCATACACAGTATTCATTTCGTGGTTTCTACATTTTTACTGTGTCCCTTTAATATTTTGACCCAAATAATGGGCAACACTTTAAATCCCTAAACATTTGCAGACAAGAAAGGTTTTCAGTAACAGAGGAAAAAACCCCACCCATCAGATTGTCTGTTCCTCTGAAGAATTTGTACCCAACTCTACCAGCCATAATGTTCCTCTGAGCAGAAAGTCAAACCTGGGAAAATTTAGGAGAGAACCACCCAATACTAACAGGTGCAGCTCCTGCTTAAAGGCTCCTTCTCTCCCCGCTTTGCAGATCTTCTCTGGTTCTAAACATGCCAAAGAACAGAAACGGTTTGCAATGTTCACTCCAGCTGAGAGCAGACAGTTGGCTTAGCAACAGGGGGATGATGTTTGGGGGACAGCCTTAAATTTATCCCCTGGGGAGATCTGTAAACAGGCAGAGGAGGAAAAGAGCACTGAAGGCAGGCATCGGATTGCCTCAGTTAGTATTTTCTAAAGCCAGATATTTCATTATTGCTTGGCTTGCTGATAAGCTCTGAGCCCTTGACCTAAATACATGTGCATGCCAAAAGCCAGGGCTTCATTTGAGTCAAGGCTCAGCTTTGGAGCCTGTTCTGAATGCCTGATTCAGCCAGGGAACTGTCATCTGATTTAAAGTAATCTTAGTCGTTTGTGTGAGTTTTTGTCAATTACTGTTGACTGAATTTCTGTACGAGTTAAAACAGCTCTAAAAGCAAGAAAGGAGCATACATCCTTTGTTTTTTTAAGATGATGCACGTGTTGTCGTAACCAGCTTTTCCTAGAAGAGGAATTCCCTCTAGTGTATAGGAGAGGGTAGCAGGATGTAATACCGGATTCTGGCCACCTGTAGTGGTGGTGCTACAGAGCAGCAGACTGTAGTAGGCTTGCAGCTTTCTCCTCCTGCAAGCTGCCACAGCAGTTCAGTGAACAAAGGGTCCCATCAGTAAAACCCCCAGTTTGTACAGTGTGCGCCAAGGCATTCGTGGACTCCATCCAATGCAAATCCTATAAAGCCTACATCATGCCATTTCGGATATGCCTGCCCATTTCTCTTGCAATAGAGATTAGAAAACACATTGCTATCTCCTTGTTGGGTCGGATGCATATATTTATTACACAGAGCACAGGAGACAAATGATACTTATATGATCATTTATGAATGGCTCATCTCACTGAGTATTATGCACTCCTGTGAATCAAGACAGTATATAATAATTTTGGATCTGTTTATCTCATTGTGTGTTAGGTCTCTCTGTGAATTAAGATTAATGTTTTCTCCCCCCCCCCATTTGAACATTTTTCATACTTTAAATTTAAAAAGAACATTGATCAGGGGGGGAAATACTAAAAAGGAGAAAAGAATAAGAGGGGCAAATCTAAAACTAACCCAAAGCCAGAAAACAAAATGAGGCTGAGGAGAAAATCTTTTAAAAATCCCGAGGAGAAAATTTTTAAAACCCACTGTTGGGAAACAAAACACCATAAAAGGTACAAGTTCCTCCTATATCAGCATCAAACATATCTGAGCAATGTACAGGGATAATACAAGGTTAATAAATGTGTAACATAGTAGGACTTTCACAGAACTACCCCAAAACATTTCACATCAAGCAAAAACTGTTAAAGTATTTCAAGATGAGCAAAACGTGGTATGATAGGCAGAGGTTGTCTTACTCTGCTGACTTCCAGAAGTGGCCAGGATGGGACAGGCGACGGTTCCGCTTTGGCAGTTTCTCCAGCATCTCCATGAGCTTGGTGAAGGTCGGGCGCTCTTACTGAAAAGCTCATAGGCCAAGGAAAAGAGAAGAATGTCCTGCAAGGAACAAAACAGGAAGGAAAGGGTAAGCAAGGAGAAAAGAGCGCCCCATTAGCTGGACTCCCACTGGGAGTTCAATCTATATGCCCCATTAGGACAGAGCATAAAAGGCAAAGAAACTCACTATTTGGATGCGGTGCTGTACTCTGTGATAGCACAACGGTCTGAAAAGCAGAGGGAAGTGCCCCCAACCAACTGCCTGCGCCTCTTCTAAAAGGAGAATATTTTCAGCTCATTTAGTGACCCTGCTGCCCGGCCTCCCAAATTATTATTGAAACAATTTGAGGGAGCTGTGCAGGAAGTGAAATTGTTTGATACATTTGGGCTGAGTCCTACTCATGATGGTATTCGTATCAAGAGTGAGGTCTTTAGCTTGTGGACAGATTTTAGATATTGGCTATATGATTATTTTGTTAATGATTTGGATTTTTAAAAATGAAAAATCAGAGGATGGGGGGCTGTTACGCCTTTTGCTGATTCAGACAGATCCACTGCTACCCTGCAGCCTGTCATTTGTGCCAGCCAACCCCCCAGCCTTGGCCCTACTTCCCCGCCTTCAATGTTTTGAGGAGTGGGAGAAAAAATGGATAGGTAGGTGGTAGATAACATCAATTGTGATGCTCTATAAATTTCCCCAATCTCTATGGTAAATAGTGTTACCTGGATAGAAGGGTAGAATGTGATGTCACTTCCAGGTGTCACTCTAGGAACCCCTACAATCTCTATGGTCTTTACCATAGAGACTGGGTACATTCCTAGAGTATCATGGATGATGTGATATCACAGCTCCTGAAATGCCACCCTCCAGAGGCACCCCCTCCCCAAATCTCCAAGTATTTGCTTGCACATGGCTGGCAACCCTAGCTATCCCTCTATATATTTTTGGTATCCATCCTTTCCACAGACTTTTAAGATAGGTGCATGATACTGTTGCAGAAGGCATGTCCCCCAATATGACCTCATCCATTGCCAGTTCCTGGTTCCCACAGACTGCTATGGGCTTGAGAAACCTCAATCTAGGGGAACCAATGTTCTAAAAGGGTGTATCTCACCCTCCCCAGAGCCATATTACATGCTGCCCTCTTCTGGATAGGAGGATAGGAGGATCATGATCAGATCCCAGAAGACAGACGTCAGAGCAGAACGCCTGTCCTATCCTCTTTCTTTCCCCCCAATTTGTTTTATTTGCATTTTCGAAACAAGCAATTGAAACAATGATCTTTCCCCTGTAAATAGAGTTGTCAGCTCCATGTCAGGAAATACCTGGAGATTTTGGGGGTGGAGCCTGAGGAAGGCAGGGTTTGGGGATGGGAGGGACTTTGGTGGAGTATAAGGCCATAGAGTACACCCCTCCAAAGCAGCCATTTGATCTTACTCAAAGCAGCCAACTGATCTTGGTCATCTGGAGATCAACTGTAATAGCGGGAGCTCTCCAAGTGCTACCTGGAGGTTGGCAACACAGCCTGCAAGCCTCCCCTTAACCACTCAGCTAGATGTTCTACCACTGTCTCTTCAAGAAGAAAGGGGGGGGGGAAGCAGGGAAAAGGGAAAGAAACAGAAAAGGTGGAAAAGTGAAGGAAAGAGGAAAAGGCAAAAGACAGATGCATATAAGTATCACTTATAGCACATGTTACATTTTAAGGAGGCCCAGAAAAACAGACACATGGAGTATCTCAAATGCCTCATTTCATGTATTTATAACACCCAGTGAATTTTTGACTTGGCCCTTCTTCCAAGGAACTCAGAGTAGCATACGTGGATCTCCTTTCCGCAGTTCATCCTCATAACAACCCTGTGAGGTAGGTTAGGCTAAGAAACAGTGGCCGGCTCTAGGAAACCTCATGGGAGCTTCATGACATTGTGGGCACCTGAACCAGACTCTGGTCTGACAACCTGGTCTGACAACACTACACTATACTGGGTCTCTCATTATCTGTATCTGTAAGAGGCAGCCGGTCTCCCACCCAAGAGTCTACTCAAGGTGACAATTCAGACTGCCAGTAATGATGGGCTTTGCAACTGTTCCCACTCTACCTACCTTCTCTGTTTGTCTTTGAGACAGTGCCGATGCAGCTGGCAAGTAACCAAGAATCAGATGGGACTGTATGACATGAGATTTCAGCAGAGAGGGCTAGACTGATGCCTTGTGATACATGCGTAGGCAGGGCTATTTTGGGGCAGGAACGCACCGGAACTGAGTTCCGGCTGGCTCCCAAGATGGCCACGCCCAGCAGGAACTCATTAGCAAAATAGGCCACACCCAACAGCAGAAACTCATTAGGATTGGCTACATTTGGGGTGTGTGGCCTAACATGCAAAGGGGTTCCTGCTACAAAAAAGCCCTGGGTTTTGACAACAAACAAGGTAAACAGAATAAGAAGCAAAAGGTGGGTGTGACTGGATGACCACACTTCCGGTAACATGGGGGGGGGTGGCCTAATATGTTAATGTGCTGTGCTGTCAGGGGTGTGGCCTAATAGGCTAATTAGTTCCTGCTGTTGGGTGTGGCCTATCATGCTCATGAGTTCCTGCTGGGCTTTTTCTACAAAAAAAGCCCCGTGTGTAGGCAATACTATAACACATGGTCTATAGCAGAGTGAATACTTTCCTTTTTTTATCGGTCTTCGTTCTCTCCTCCCTTTCTGCTGAAGCCAATCCAGTTTTTATCCCACTGATGTAAAGACGGACCAAGTGCTAGCTTCCCAAGAACCCTATGAGGCAAGTTAGAGTGACAGAGGGAGAGAGACAGGCCCAGGGCCGTCCAGGGGGCTTCACAATCAAATGGGGTTTGAACCAGTCTTAATCCAGTTCTACAGCATACTGGCTCTCCATTTAAGTGCCCTGGGGTGAAGACTCTTTTTAAAATTATTTGTAATTTGCACCATGAATTATCCTCCTTCCGGTTGATATGTTGTGCGTGTGTGTGTGTGTTGCATTTAATTTTTAAAGCTAGTCTTAATGTGTGTGTGTCTTCACCACCTTACCGACTCTAAATTGGTTAGAATCATGATATAAAAGTGTTGAAAATAAACATGTAAAATGATAAACATAAATACAAATAATATTAAACTGTTTCTGCACCCCTGGCAACTCTGCATCTTGGCCCAGGAAAGGCTTCTCTGCCTTCCATCCTGTCCCTTCCCCCACTTCCCTTCGCACCCCAAGCAACAGAAAGACACCTACCGAGATCTCCTTCCCCATGCCAATTTGGCTAAGGTTCGGCTTCATCCCTCGGCCCACTTGCCAAATTATTGCCTCCGCAGGTTGGGTCTTGAAAGGCCATTCCCGCGCGTGCAGCTCATACCAGATGGTGCTGTCCAGACGAAACAGTAGAACAGTTAATAAACACACACACATACACAGACTATACAATGCCAGAGCTGTCTAGGGAACTGGTGAACGCCTGGCCCCTTCAAGGATATTCCAGAGTAATTTTCTAGTCCTAGATTTTGGAAATAATACAAAACAGCATGCAGACACTCACTAAAAAGCAAACCTTCTCCTATCTTCTCACGTTCTGGCCAATCACTGTGTAAAGCGTCGGGTACCTTTTTTGTTACGTTTTATAAAATTCAATGTCATTCCATTAATCTTTAATGCAGTTCAATAGCATAAGACAAACTAGTTTATCTGTAATTATGTGCTGGCCACTCTGCATTAATTCCTTTCCCCTGGTGTTCTCTGCTTTCAACTGTATCTGGTTATCAGGGAATGCCCTCCTTTTCTGATCCCTATTTTTTTTTTAACCCCTTTGGGAATTCTGCGTTAGAACTCTGCTAGTCTACTACAAGGCCCCATTGTACAAATCTTTGACTGTTCATCTGCTCCCCCCCCCACCTCGAAAAGAAAATTAATTCTTGGAGGGAACGGGTGGGTGTCTCTGATCTCTCATGCACATGCATATCATGGCAGATGCCTGGATGGGAACGTGCTGGAAGGATAGCAGCCACTTGCCAATTCCCACGCTGGTGGGGTTTTGAGTTGTTGCAACAGATTGCAGGACAATTTATGCTTCTTTCACATTATCTTTAACCAAACGAACAAACACGTCTCTTGGTCTTTCAAAATGAGCGCAAGAGAAGCTATTTTACAGCAGAGGAACCCAGCAGGCCGCGTACAGCCTTTAGCAATGAGTAGATTGGTGTGTGTGGGGGGGGGGGCAGCGTGTGGGCGGGTGTTAGGCAGTAATTCTCGGGCTGTTACACGTAGGAGACAGTCTAAGAGCCAGTTCCTGGAGCACTAAGTGAGCTGGTCCAAGGCCTGCAAAGACCCAAAGTTTACTGGCAAACTGTAAACTCCAGCCTCCCACTCTAGACTCTCATCAGAACTTCACACATTTCTGTAAACTGGGAGTCAGGGGAAAGATGGGCATTGCTCCTCTAACTGTGTTTCCAGTGAAGATAGATCCAGGTGTCAGCTGTGTTGGTCTGAAGCAGTAGAACAAATTTAGAGTCTTTGTTGGTCTTAAAGGTGCCACTGGACTCTACATTTGTGTTATGCACAAGGACATACTTGGGGGAGAATGGGCATGGGGAGAGGGGCACAACCATCTTGCGCATCCCACCCTGTGAGCAAAAATTCTACTTTGTGAGCTGTTGGCATTAAAGCTGTGAGCAGGAGATTTGGCTCCTGCATAAATTAGTTTGTTCTGGAGCCATCCTTCCTGAGCTAAGACAAAAATGTGTGAGCCAGAGGCAAAAAAACTGTGAGCTAGCTCACACTAACTCAGTTTAGAGGGAACACTGGCGGGAATTCTCCTCTGCCGGCCAGCTGGCCAGCAACAGGGAGGAGTGCCGAAAACTGGTGGATCCCCCATGTACCAGGGAGACCTGACAACCCTAGCCCACAGGCTCAAGAAAGTTGGGGACCCCTGCCTTACACAGTGTTTCATTTGAACTGATTTCTAGTTCTGTAATCCTAGTCTATTTGCATTGTTTGATGAACGTTTCACGCTGTCTGACTGAACTGGCTTTTTGTTTTAAATATTTCACATTCTGCCTTTAGTCGCAGTAAGGAAAGCAGGTCATAAAATGGAGCAAATAAAGTTGTGGGCTTTCTAGAGGCCTGTAGTTGGCCAGAGCTGGACACAGGATGCTGAACTCAGCTGGAAATGTTGGTCTGATCAAGCAGGGCTCTTGTCATGTTCTTACTGTGCAAAGCTGCTCAGTTATGACCCATAAATAGCAGAATTAGATGCATAAATCCCCTTCTCTCCACACAAAGGGAGGATGCCTCAGGGTTTACATGTCTGGGTAAAGCCTTGTCCCACAGCCTCAAGCACTTTTCTCATGCATAAAAGTAGCTGCAATATTTAATGCTACCCTAGAAAGGAAAACCCAATGGCCTAGTAAAAAAATTGCTACGGGGGAAAGTATGTGTGGATTATCCTCTTCTGAAAGTGCTAATGGGCGGCATGGCACATTAGATTCAGAAAAGCAGGGAGAGTGCTTTCGGGTGGGACTTATCTAAACTGCAAATCTATATTGGGCTAATGCTACTTTAATGGCAACAATTTCACCCATAGCATCCTGGGAGATACTGAGCGTTCTCTATTTCAGATTCCCACCCAACTCCCTGAAACTACAGTTCCCAGGATTCCCTGGGAAGTGGGAATGACCCCTAAATCCATTTAAAACATGTGGACATATGTCCTCAGAATGTGTGGATATGTCTTAGTTCCAGCTGCTGAAAGCCACTTACAATTTTAAAAAAAGTCCTACACCGTTAACTCTTCTCTTTCCCCACACTTCCTTGGTGGGGGCCATTGGTAGCAACAAAGTCCCTGGCTGCTCCCCTCCCCGAGTCAACTGACGGGGGTGACAAATGATACAGTCTCAGACACAAGGAACTCTAAGTAATGGAGTCCCACTGGACTGTCTGAAAAAGACCTTGTTCTGCCACACACGCCTCTCCAAAAACCAATGGGAGAAAAGAAGGGAAAGCAGCAGCAGTAGAGTTTGTATCGCAAGATCAGCCATCACTAGCCAAGAAAGAATCCATGCCCCAAGGCTGCTTAGTAGTAGGGGGTCCCCAATCTTGGTGAATCTGTGGGAAGTTTTGGAATGTTGAGAATGGGTGCCGTGGATGGCAGCACAGAGTGGGTGCCACCATGGGGGCTAGGGCCAGACACAGAGTGGGTGCCAAGGGGTGCTAAGTGGACCAATCTCAAATATTACGAGGCTGCAAGCCAAGCATCCTCCTATGGTGGAAGCAGCTACTGCTGAATATGTGCATCCCGCAGAAAACAAAGGTGATTACTTCTCCAGTGCTTCCTACTCTAAGGAGACGGAGGAAAGCCAGGACTGGGGAAGGAGCAAGAAGGCACCAGGAAACTCATAGGAGGGAGCCTCATTATGGGTTACTGCGTAAGTACCAAAAGCAAAATTCAAAGCAGGGACATGTTGTCTTGGAGCTTGCTTACTTAAGAAGAAGAGTTGGTTTTATCCCCTGCTCTTCAGTACCCAAAGGGATCTTGGAGAGGCTTACAATATCCTTCCCTTCCTCTCCCCACAACAGACACCCTGTGAGGAAGGTGGGCCTGAGAGAGCTCCGAGAGAACTGTGACTGGCCCAAGGCCACCCAGCTGGCTGCATATGGAGGGAGTGGGAAATCAAACCTAGTTCTCCAGATTAGAGTCCATCGCTCTTAACCACTACACCACTTAACTGCTATCCTAAACCAGCGTTCATACTCTCACTAGGGAATTGTGGTCAGTCACTGCATTTGGACAATGTGTGTGTGTTATTGTCACAATCAACCTATGGGCTTCCCATAGATTACTGCACAGAGAAGCCCTCAGTGTAGGGAATCAAATGGCCATTACATGTATTGGGAATATTATAGATAGCATGCATTCCCATTACACTAGATTAGAGCAGGGCTATTTTGGGGCAGGAATGCACAGGAACGGAGTTTCGGCTGGCTCCCACATTGGCCACACCCAGCAGGAACTAATTAGCATAATAGGCCACACCCAACGGCAGAAACTCATTAGGATTGGCTACATTAGGGGTGTGTGGCCTAACATGCAAAGAAGTTCCTGCTACAAAAAAAAGCCCTGGGTTTTGACAACAAAGTAAATAAAATAAGAAGCAAAAGGTGGGTGTGGCTGGATGACCACACTTCTGGTAACATGGGGTGTGGCCTAATATGCTAATATGATGTGCTATCAGGGTGTGGCCTAATATGCTAATGAATTTCTGCTGTTGGGTATGGCCTATTATGCTAATGAGTTCCTGCTGGACTTTTTCTACAAAAAAAGCCCTGTGGTAAGCAATATGAACCGATGTCTGTAGCTGTCCCTCTTTTCAACACACAAAAAGGAGGAGCCTTCTAAAGAATATTGGGAGACAGCCTTCAAGGAAAACAACCTCTTATTTTTCTTTCCGCCCCTTCAGCCGCCTCTGCATTTTGATGGCTGCAACCAGTCACAATTAACTTGTTTGCCTCTTGCATATGTTTCCCATCCACAGATCCATGCAGGGTTATTTTCTCTCTCAGAGATGCCATCGAAAGGAAGACGCTTGTTTCCTATGAAGGGAACTTGCTTCTAATAAACGCTTCTATTAACAATGGTCATAAGCACCATTGTTTCTCTTAATAACAAAATGTCCATTTCTAGGAACTGTGGCCCGTTTTGTAACCGTGGCCCATTTCATAGAGCCCCATTGTGCCTGCTGGCTCTAATTACTTATGCTTTGTGTGTGTGCACAAACTGCAGTCATGATGCAGCCAACTTATGGCAAGCCCAGCAAGGGCTTTCAAGGGGACGTGAGAGGCAGAGGTGATTTGCTGTTGCTTTCCTTTGCAGAGTCTTCCTTGGTAGTCTCCCTTCCAAGTACGGACCCTGCTTAGTTTCGGAGATCTCTGACGACATCAGCCTATACCATGTTGCCTTCCCAATAACAGTTAGGGAATGCCAAACCAAACAAAAAGGTCATTACAGAGGGATTGGTTTACTAATACAAGTGTTCTGGGATTACCAAAAAGGTATTTGGCAATTATTTTTATTTTTGCTTTGCGGTGATTTGAGGTATTAAAATACATGCGTGTGTGTGTGTGTTGAGTGCCATTAAGTTGCTTCCAACGTACAGCAATCCTATGAATTACTCTCACAGGTTATGACATACCTCTAGATCCGAAACTCATGCTCTTACACCTGTGGCCGGAAGGGGTTTGTTCAAACAATCAAAGACAATTAATAAATATCTTATTAGCAGCTGCTAAGAGCACTATAGCGACGAAATGGAAGGATAAAGATCCTCCATCTGTGAATGTGTGGCTTTATAAAGTTTGGAGATACTTTTTGTATGACACCATTTCTATTTATAACACCACAGACCAAAATGAATGTGAAATACTTAGTCCTGTTGGGAAATGGTATCCCATCATCGAAAAACTTACTTTTGATGATTTTGACTGGAAAACTATTTACAATGCGAAGTATAAGTTGTTGCTATTGGGTTAATGTTTCTATGACCTTTATGGCTTTGTTCCGTGGAACCTCTCTTTGATTGTATATTTGATTGCATTGGTAGGATAAGTGGATTTCTGTAACTTTTGCTGTTTGTTGTTATACTTTATGGTTGAATACGAATAAAATGTTCTGGTTAAAAAAAATAAATGAATTAACGTCCTTCAAAATGTCCTGCCGTTGACAGCCTTGCTCAGCTTTGCAGACACTTCTGCTTTAGGTGGCAGTTTTTTTGAGCTCAGTGATAGAACACAGCAAGTTCAGAGAAAGTGTGCATTGGTATACTAGCTGCTGGGGGACAAAGAACAGGACCTTCCTTCCCAACTTTTGGACTTCCTGGAAGTATTCTGGCTGACCTCTGTAGGAAACAGGATATTGAGCTAGGTGGACCCTTGGACAGATTCAGCTCCTTTATGGCCCCTACCAAGTAACTGTAACTCTGAGTACCAGTGGTTGGAGGACAAACAAGATGGGGAAGCTGATCTGAGAGAGCTGTTTGCTTGCAGACTTCCCGGAAATACCAGTCACATCGTTATAACCCTTCCCTTTGCTCCAATAAACTCAGGAGAGCAAGCATAGTTCACCTTTCTTTCCCTTGATCCTCATCACCACTTGGTGAGGCTGAGAGACAGCAAATGTCTGGCGCAAGGTCAGTTGGTAACCTTTATGACTACTGCGGTATTTGAACTCAGATCATCTTAGTCCTCATTCAGCCCCCTAAACACTACTGTCCCAGTGTCAGGAGGTGATCACCATGGGGAGCAGAATGCTGGATGCAGGGAGCAAGCCTAAGTAGGTCTGCTCAGAAGTCTTATACTATTCAATGGGGCTTACTCCCAAGAAAGAGGTCTTAGGGTTGTAGCCTTAGAGAGACAGGGTGGGCCAGAGCTAGAAGTGACGATGTCCTCACATCCACCAAGGGGGATGCTGCCACAATTTTAACATGATTCAAAAGTGCTGTGAGGGTCGGAGCTTGGTTGTGCCCACAGGGTGGTGAGCTGAGACACTCCTCCCGACGTCTCTATTAAAAGGATCAAATAGTATGGGGTGTGAAAGACTTCTGCCTGACGCCCTGAAGAACTGCTGCCAGTCAGAGTGGACCAGGGGTCATTTCCTGCAGGAGCGCACAGGAGTGGAGCTCCGGCAGTAAAGACCCCAGGGGGCGGGCACATGCAACAAGCCCCACCCCCCTGCTCCCAGCAGCCCTCAGTCAGAGCTAGAAGCAGCCAGGTAAGTTGCAGAGCCCCCAAACCCAAAACAGTCCAGTGGCTCCTTTAAGACCAAGTTTTATTCAGGTACAAGCTCTCCCTCCTCTGTGAGGACAGATCTGCACATCCCCCCCCCCCAATAGCTAGCAATCCAAAACAGTCCAGCGGAGCCTGAGCGGTGGGTGTTGCCTTCTGACACACTTTCTGGCGATGTCAGGGGGTGTGGAATATTCATATAAGTTATGCTAATAAGTTATGCTAATGAGCTCCTACACCTCTTTTTCTACGAAATGACCCCTGGAGTGGACCAATGGCCTTACTCAGCATAAGGCAGCTCCATGTGCTCTGGAAAATAGCAAAATGTAGTTGTTTTCAAACCCAGGGTTTGAACGGGAGATAATGGGAGAAAGAGCAGTGGTCCTCCCATGCAAGCTTTTAAATTTAAAAAGGGGTCCATGCTCTATTCTGATTTTTTTTTAAGTCCCATCATTAACTTTTTTTTTGAGCCAAACAGTTACACGAAACCAGCACTGGTCTTAATTGTGACATGGCCTTATCAGATAAGAAGTGGATATAAGCTAATCACTTGAAAGCTGCCCCTCTTAAGGTATCCACCATGGCGCCGTGTGGGAAAATGAATTTGTTAGATAAAACCTCAGCAAAGATATCATCACTAAGGCAACAGGGAAGCTTTCAGAAAAGGATGTTTTCCCTTTCCACAGGGCAATTAATTGGGAAAACAAACGATGCTTTGGGAGCTGACAAAGCTCATGTGGGTTGGCAGTCCTGGTTTACTATTTATTTATTTGTTTAGATTTTTATCTTGCCTCTTTCCCGGCAATTGGGGTTTCCAGCGTTTAACACCATTAATATAAATCATAAATAAAAATACAAATATTCTATAAAACAATTCAATACATTGGCACTCAGGTATGCCTCTCCATTCCCCCCCCCCCCCCGCGGGCAAGAGGCACAAAAGGACCACTTACCCGAATGCAAAGACATCCGAGTTCTTGGAGAAAGGCAGCTTGTCTTCTTCCGTGTCAGGCGAGAGCTGGTGGATGATTTCTGGGGCCAGATGGCACAGCCAGCCATTCTGGATCCGCAGTTTATTCTCCCTCCTGATAAAAGAAAAAGGACAGCAGGTAAGTCAGCCTGTACTGACCTTAGACTAGTGTGCAACACAAGTTAAAAATCACACTGATCTGTCCCCCCTCTCTTCCCGCTCTAGACTGACACACACACACACAGTCAGACAAAAAATTGTTACCATTCTGGCACCAGCTGCTAGACAGCTTCTGTAGAGTCCACATAGCATCTGTTTGTTCTGTTGGTTCTGAACAGGATCTGAACAGAGTATTTGGACCCTCCAAGCCACCCCTGTTAGCTGTGGGGGAGCATTTTGATAGAGACTGGCAGGGAAGTCATAGTAAAGAAACTTGAGAATTTCTCTTGGGGCTCTCCATTTCTGGGCCAAAGCTAAGTGACACTTCATATGATCAGGAATTTACAATGTTAGGTGAGTGTTCCATCTATCAGGAAACCCCACTGGGTGCAATGCAATCAAAGCACCCATTTGCACCCATTGCATATGCACGTGGGTACATTTAGTTTCCTATGTGGAAGTAATATTTGTGTAGAAACCCCCTCTCACAATACAAAAAAAACCCAAGGGGGGGGGAACAATGAATCATTCACATCAGCTTGTCTTCTCTGCAGTTTAGCATCTCTTTGTGGATTAACTGGGAACAGAGACAGGAAGTACGAATGGCATATGGTGCAACTTCGTATGTTACAAATTTGTCTGCAACTGGTAACTGATAAATAAGCTTAAACGGCAATCATCAACCCATCATGGTTCTGATAAACGGCCCCAAGAACTCTCCCTCTGAGACCTATTAAAGGGGCAGAAACGCATATCCTAACTGATATCATCAGCATTATCCAACCCGCAAGGACAAAATCTGTCTTCATTATGAAACATCATTTCACTGCCGATTCTGTCATCTGGATTCAGAGGGAAATGAATGCTTCTTGCTTATAATTTGCCCAGTGAGGTCGATGTTCAAACATAAAATTAAAAACAAGATGTTTTTAAAGTGCAGCTTGCCATGGAATCTTCTGTATTTTTTTACAAAAAGAGTCTTAGCTCTCAAAAGCTTAACAGCAACAACGCACAAATGCTCTGGAAAACCACAATATTTTGCAAACAGGTATACCAACATAATTGCCAATACATTTGACCCATCTTTGGCTATCCCTGTACATGCTCTTGCAGCAGACTTGCCACTTAACTCTGAAACTTTCTTCTGTCCCTTGCCAACACTGCTTTAAAGAAGAGGAGAAGAGATTGAATTTATACTCTGCCCTTCACTACACAAAGGAGTCTCAGAGTGGCTTAGAATCCCTGTGAAGTAGGTGGGGCTGAGAGAGCTCTGAGAGAACTGTCCTTGAGAGAACAGCTCTGAAAGAACTTGTGATCGACCCAAGGTCACACCAGCAGCTGCATGTGGAGGAGTGGGGAATCAAACTTGATTCTCCCAGATTAGAGTCTGCACTTCTAACCACTACACCAAACTGGCTCTCTTTGCTACCCTCGTGCTCAAACCTACATGCCTCCCCGCCCCTCCTAAACAGGCAGATGCTTCCCAAACAGCAGACAGACCATCTAATTCCAGTTGTCACATCTTATAATTAGCTGCCCCTGCTAAATGTATTTGCCAATCAGCTCGGTGACTCTGCTGTTGATTCCTACCCCACCATCCCCTTTGCAAATGGCATACTGTCAGTTGCTCCTCGCCCCATCTAGAAGCCATTTCCTCCGTCCTGCCACGATACAGCAGGAGGGAATGAGTTTTCAGCAAATGGATGCGGTCTCTCAGTGACAGGTCAGTTAGGATTCCTCTCCTTCCACCTGCAAAACAGAGAGCTGAAGCTGACTGCTCTAGAGAAGTCTTCGGTCAGCTACATGATCTAAGGAGTCTGGTTAAAATCTCAAGATAAAAGGCCAAAGTGCATGTTCTGGTTGCTGTGGGGACAATGCCAAAACCAGCTTCTGCTTGACCAGTCATCCTTGATTGGCTCTGAATGTCTGAAGCTCTTAGTCATCACATCATTGCCAATACAGGCATAGACACTTCCTTTTCCTCTTGGCCACCGCAGAGGATGTGGAAACTCAATGTTTTATGGTCTGGACAGGAAATCAAATTGCTAGAGGGAGACAATTTTCAGTGATGCCTGGGTGGCTACTAACACTCCCCTTTTCAAATTCTGCTGCTTCAGGCAGCTCCTTCACTCTGCCACACAGCAGGACTAACTTGGGGATCTGAGGACTTTGGATCAGGCAGCTTCACATGTGGCATGTCCCAGGAGGGCAGGGCAAGGACACTACTTGAGGTCTTTCTCATTGGAGTAAGCCAGAGTGCTATAGCAGTCACAGTGTTGGGCTAGGACTGAAGGGACACATGTTTGCATTTCCCACACAGCCATGAAATTCACTGGGTAATGTTTGGGTCATAGAATCATAAGAGTTGGAAGGAACCTCCAGGGTCATCTACTCCAACCGCCTGCACAATGCAGGAAATTCACAAATACCTCCCACACACATACCCCAGTGACCCCTGCTCTATGCCCAGAAGATGACCCCCCCCCCAATGCTCCAGGATCCCTGGTCAAATTGGCCTGGAGAAAAATGCTTCCTGATCCCAAAGTGGCGATCAGCATTTCCCTGGGTGTATAAGAAACGGCCATAAGGACTAAGCACTGATGCAACCCTCCCTGCCCTCCCTCTCATGATCTGCCTAAGTTCATAGAATCAGCATTGCTGTCAGATGACCATCTAGCCTCTGTTTGAAAACCTCCAAAGAAAGAGAGCCCACCACCTCCTGAAGAAGCCTGTTCCACTGAGGAACTGCTCTAACTGTCAGGAAGTTCTTCCTAATGTTTAGCCAAAAACTCTTTTGATTTAATTTCAACCCGTTGGTTCTGGTTCAACCTTCTGGGGCAACAGAAAACAAATCTGCACCATCCTCTATATGCCAGCCCTTTCAAGTACTTGAAGGTGATTATAATATCCCCTCTCAGTCGTCTCCTCTCCAGGCTAAACATATCCAGTTCCTTCAACCTTTCCTCACAGGACTTCGTCTGCAGACCCCCTCCCCATCTTTGTTACCCTCCTCTGGACATGTTCCAGCTTGTCTGTATCCTTCTTAAATTGTGGTGCCCAAAACTGAACATGATACTCTAGGTGAGTTCTAACCGGAGCAGAGTAAAGTGATACCATCACTTTGTGTGATCTGGACACTACTTCTGTTGATACAACCCAAAATCGCATTTGCCTTTTTAGCTACTGCATTACACAGCTGATTCATGTTCAGTGCATGGTCTACTAAGACCCCTAGATCTTTTTCGTAGTTCTCTCACAACTTAACACACGTCACTAGGTTGCTCAGAACACAAAACAAAGAAAGGAAGAAGCCTTCTGAGATCATTGGAGGAAGGGTCAGATAAAATGTGGTATAAATGGAGACCCTGCAGAACTGCTGCCAATCAAAGAAATCAAGAGGCTGAGCCAAGAGGCTGATTCAGTATAATGCATGTCCACGTGAATTTCCCCATATTTTCTCCCTAGTATGCACACCTATCTCTTTCTTGCTTCCCACTCAGGTAGCAGAGGTTGATGCTAGGGTCTTATCAATATCCCCCTTTCTTTATTTCTCATTAGCAGGGCACTGTTGCAGCCATCTTTGCCACTTTGTAAGGGAAACATCAGAGACCCATTTACCTCAAGCATTGGCCACTACGAAATCAGAGCACATGGGCAGTTCTTCACTCTCCAATAAGCTTACCATCCATCTGGTGGTAAGCACCACCACAGGTCAGGCTGGAGGGAATGAGATCCAAATTAAAGTATAAATCTCCAACCCGGGTTTCTCTAACATCACTTAGGTAGCGGACAAAAGAAACCATCACAAGCTGTCGGTCAGCTGAAAATGCTGCTCTTCATTAGTGCCCTTAACATGGCCTGGACTCATGGGGGAAAAAACATACATCTGAACCTGCCATGCACAAAGTCAGACCCTTGGCCCATCCTATTCAGTACTATCTTCTCTGAGTGGCAGCAGCTCCCCAGGGTCTCAGGCAAAGACAGACACCCCCCCCACAAACACCTGCAACTTAAGATCCTTTTAATGAGAGATTGGATTTAGGACCTTCCTCCCGCAAAGCAGGTGCTCTGCCACTGAGCTGTGGCTCTTCTCCAGACACAGTGCAAGAGCAGCCGCCACGGTGGCTTTGCCACGTTGGGGTGCACCTCAGCACTGGGGCCCTGTGGAGCCTACCCCACTTTGAGGCTTCACTTTGAGGGTCAACCAAGCGAGAGCTCTGCAGCGGAAGAGACGAGTCAGCTTCCCACCAGGGACTCCTGTTGCTTTGTGGCCACACATATGGCTCTTAATTACCAGCTGCTGTTAAATTAATCACCAAGGTCAGTTAAGCTGTGCAAGGGTACCCCCCCTTCCCTCTCCAGTTTTGCACTCCTGATTCTCCTCCGCTCAGAGCAGAGAGGAGGAAGGAGACAAAAGGATAAGTAGAACTCCTTCCATGTACAGACCTGAGATCCTTCATGCTACCTGAGAGCTTTTTAACTGGAGATATCAGGGATCGGACTTTCTGCATACAAAGCACGTGCTCAGCCAATGAACCACGGTTCAAATGTGTCTTAGTCTGAGGATAAAGCGATATTCCTCTTGGAATGAGGTGGTTATTTTATACAAGTCAGCAGCCAGGGCTCCAATTTAAATGGAAAGACCAATGTGGGGAGAATGGAGCTGCTCACCTCTCCTTCTCAGGCTGTTTACCTGCTGGAAATCACCACCCCCTAAGCTGCTTCTATTCTGGGGGGAAACACCAATACCTGTAAGCAGCTGATGGGGGTGGTTTTCCCACTTTTGTATGGAGCGGGGTCGTGGCTCAATAGAAGAGCCTCTGCTTTGCATGCAGAAGGTCTCAGGTTCCACCCCTGGCATCTCCAGCTAAAAGAATCATGTAGGAGGTGATGTGAAAGACCCTGGAACCCCTGGAGAGCCACAGCCGGTCAAAGTAGACAGTACTGACCTTCACAGAGCAATGGTTTGATTCAGTATAAAGAAGCTTCATGTGTTCAATGGGGAAATGGGCTAGGAAGCCCTTTTTTCCCCATTTCACAGCCAACGTGATAGATTTAAGTGTGTAAAGAAATCACACAATATGTATAGTTCTGCCGTGAGTCATGCGATTGATTCTGCTAGTTCAGTATGGCCTATTCTGCCTGGCAGAGGCTTTCCGAGGACTTTGCAGACCTTGCCGTTGGACACAGCTTCTACTACAGGTGCCAGGAATTGAACCAGGGGCCTTCTGCATGCGGGACCACTAGGCTGTGGCCCCTTCTTATGCTTCCTAGTGTTTCTGGGTCCTAGCTATACAGGGGCAATAAATAGGGGGGGGGCACAGCCAAGGATTTATTTTGCAATTGGCAAGAATAACCACTCCTCTGACAGTACGGGAAGGGGAATGGGAACTCGACCATGCTTGAGCCCAAGCATAATGCATCTGGCCTGCTACAAACTTTCAACACACACAGTCCCACCCCAACTACACAATCTCATGAAAGAAAAATGTATATAACATTTCGGAAACAACATAAGCTGATCTTATCATGGTAATGGCCTTGCATCCTGATTTGAGCACCCTCTCACCCCGCCCCCCCCCGAACCCAGTAAAGCATACACATCCCTCCCCTCCCCATGCCTGGGTTTGTCAGCTCTGCATTGGGAAATACCTGGAGAGGGCTGGATTTGTGGAAGGGGGGGGGGACCTGAGCTGGGGGCAATGCCACAGAGGCCACCCTCCAAAGCAGCCATTTGCTCCAGGAGAACTGATCTCTGTCATCTGAAGAGCAGTCCCAATCCCAGATGTCCAGCCACCACCTGGAGGTTGGCAACCTAACCCCACCACTTGCACTAGACATCTTTAACAATACAGCCAAATCTTTCCCAACGATTACTAAGGGTGGTACCTAGATCTCTAGCCAGAAGACAAGGCAAGGGCTGCAGAGTGACTGCTTTACAGTATGCTGCTTCCTGGTCCTCCTCCTCCAAGACACAATGTCCCAGACCAGTGGCAATGAAGCACAAAAAAGGTAGGGCTGCCCGGCATGCTTGTAGGTTAAAAAAGTGAAGGAGCCAATGAGAAGGCATTTATGTAACTGGATTTGCAAGAGACCTCTGAGGCTTAAGACTTAATTCAGAAATGATGGGATGGTATTTGGGAAGGGGGGGAAAGGGAAAGAAAAGCTGGTGTCTAACCCACAAGCTAGGAAGGCATCAAAAATCCTGTTTTTGCTGAGGTGGCTCAGTCACAAATACTCAGTTTCATGGCTTTTCTTGTAGGACAAGATCTCTAAAATCATAGATGGCACTGAGTGAGAACAGAAAGCAATAACATAGCTCCTTCTTGGGCACGTGTTCTAAATCAGCGCAATCTCTTGAATTAGTGCTGCTGTTCGAAAACAGGGGGTCAAAGCAACAACTTAGATTCAAAATCCAGCAAAAGAAATGTTTAGGGGCTAGTTCTCACTATGTCTGGGCTACAGCTGTAGTCCTGTGCAGTCCTGTCTAGACATAGATTTTTATCACCTTATTAAGAAAGAGGCCTTAGACATTCCTATTTTGCAGTCTGGTCCCAAATTTCACTTAAGCTGTTTTTGGATTAATACTAAACAGGAAGAGGGGGGAAAATGGACAAAACTTCTTTGCTTAATATGCCTGGTTAGCTTTTTTCCAGCTGTGAATCTGTGTGCTTTTTAGCAACTGTTTAACCAGCAATCTGCCATCCATAATTTAGAAGAACTGTAGAAAGTCTGTGTGAGGGTTGGAAATGCCAAGCAGAGCCCTTCCTGACATATCCAAATAAAAGAAGCTCAGGTAGGGATGGATTTTGAGGTCTTGTCCCTGCTCTTTCAGCTGGGGGGAGGGATAAATACTATTTTGATTTCAACTTCTCCTGTGTGCAATCCGAGCCTGTGTTTCATAGCTGGTGTGTCTGCTTCCAATGAATTTTCCCATTAAAATCATGCAATCTTAGAATGTTTGTGCTGACTGCATAGAAATAATGTATAACAGAGAAAGTGGCATAAGAGAAACAAACGATTTAGGACTACCAGAAACAAAAAAAGGGTCAAAAACTAAAAAGATAGGGTTGCCAGGTCCCCTCTGGTCACTGGCAGGGGATGGGGGGGGGGGGTTGCCAGGGCCCCAAATCTCCAGGGGTTTCCTAGCCGGGATCTGGCAACACTATCCCTCCATCCCCTGCTGGTGGTTGGGCGGGGGGGACGGGGGGCACCTGGCGACCCTACCTCCTACAGAGACCAAAGTTGCCCAAACCCAAATTCAATCCCAAGAAAAACCTCTACAGAGAAATGTGCTTCCCCTCAAAGATCCTGTTTTCCTCCACCTAGAAAATCATTTGGCAACCCTAGAAAAAGCAGCTACATGCGGTCATAGCAACCTGCTAGTTCTTACAAGTGACATACGAACTAGGAAAGACAGCTACCACTCCCTTAACTTCCATCTACATAAGAGGAGAAAGAAGAAATGCAAACTCATTCAATGTGGGTTAATGCTCTGCCTTAGGGTTGCCAGGTCCCCCCTGGCCACCGGTAGGAGATAGGTGGAGTAGGGTTGCCAGATCCAAGTTGGGAAACTCCAGGAGATTTAGGAATAGAGCCTGGGGAGGTCAGGGACCTCAGTGAGGGTACAATGCCACAGAGCCCACCCTCCAAAGCAGCCATTTTCTCCAGGGGAACTGATCTCTGTAGTCTGGAGATGAGCTGTAATTCCAGGGGATCCCCAGGTCTCACCTGGAGGCTGGCATGCATATTCTTGCCACTTCAGTGCCTTTGAGAACGGATATCAAAACTGGGAGAGCAGCTGCAGTAGGTAGAATTGTACAGCGTTTTAAAGTTAAACCAGGTCTCTGGCACTGCAATCTTGATAAAAACTGGAGCCTGCAGGCTGCTGCAGTTTGGCTTTAAAAACACTGGGAAGATCTGCTCATAAATCTTTTCCTTAGCAGAAGCCGGCTCCACTTTTTACAGCACAATCCTAGGCAGACTTACACCATTCTAAGTCCACTGAAGTCAATGGGTGTAGAAGGGTGGTAACTCTGCTTAGGACTGCGCTGCCAGTCACTTAGAAGAAGGATCCCACATACCACAACTAATTAATGCTTCTTGCTCTTCTGGCACAGGAACCCTGCAATTTACTCTGCAGAGTAACAACAAATAAATGAAAAGATGTGCTTTGTGGGACTGCTGAAGGCTGAACACGATAGTTCATCCCACGAGCAACACAAGGCAGCGGGTGCCGTAGCTGCTTCTAGTCCTGAGTCATGGGAGGGGGCTGCATTGGGACAGATGTTTGCAGATTCTGTTGGTGCCAGTTGGCAAAATGCCCTTGCTGAGTCCGCAAGGCATATTTGGGGGGGGGGGCTGGTTCCAACCTTAAGGGTGCCACCCCCAGGGGCAGACCCTGGGTCAAGCTGTGTGTCAAGAAAGGAAGCGGAAGAAGGGGTGGCAAAGCAAGAACACTTTTGCAGATCAGCTCCCTTTGTGTTTGATAAATATCTTTTGCAGAAGTGACACTACAGGGAAATGATCAGAGGAGGAGATGAGTAAGTGAAGGGGCTGGATAAGAAGGACAGGAGTAAGGGCCATAAACTGAGACGTGTATATGCTTCAAGGAATTACATATGAAAGCTCCCCAGTATGAAAAGATGAACTTGGGTAACCTACATATCTTGTGCAAAGTAACAACATTTGTATGCCACATATGTAATTATATCAGAGCTTCTGTTTATTGCATGGCGGGATCTCAAACATAAATCTTGTTCAGCCCGAGCTCTGGTTTCTGGGATTATATCGAGCACTGGCTTGCAGCCTCCAGGCAAGGCGTTGAGTTCTCCTGAGATTACAACTGAACTCCAGACTGCAGAGATCAGTGCACTTGGAGGAAATGTCAGCTTTAGAAAGTGAACTCTATGACATCACACCACTGCTGATTTACTTCCCCTCCCCAAACTCTGCCCTCCCCAGGCACCGCTCCCAAATCCCCAGGGAACTCCCAAGGCAGAGATGGCAGCCCTAATTCAAGCACTGCCTGTCCAATCAAGCCTAGTCTCCCCCCGCCCCCCAAAGTCCACTGTCTATGAGTAAACCAGCGGGAGCAGGGTGACTAGGGTCATTCCCACTAGCTTTGCCTCCAACCAGCGTGCGGTCAAAGGTACAATTTGCACAGAGTCTTCGTGCTAACATTTCATGCGCATAAACTCTTGTATATGTGATCTGGCATCACAAAACACAGATCTCCACATATATGTACAATTAAATACATTTTAAACAAACAAACATTGGAAATAAGCTCCTGCCTTTTCAGCATTAAGAAAATCTTTTTAAAGACATTAAAACCCAAGAGTTTCTAGCCTGATACCAATGATTACGCAGAATAAAGTTGTAGAAGGGGGGGATGACAAAACGTGGGCAAGTTATCACTTCCAAATATGCCAGAATTAGATAGCAAAGGGTCAAAATATAGGCAGCTGATTCAGGCCACAGAAGATCTTTGCAGATACTACACAGACTTTGTTCAAGATGTATCTCCACAGCAAGGACTAGAAACCTGCCTTTTATTCCTTCCCAAAAGCTCAGATTGGCAGGAAATACCTTATAGTAAAGGGCAGAGGATGCTCAAAGGATGTGGTGATGGCTATCAATTTAAGATGGCTTTAAAAGGGAAGTGCACAAATTCATAGAGGACACATGCCACAGCTATTGTCCATGGAGATCAAGGGAAGACATAGTTGTATTTACCTGAAACCAATATCATCAAATGCTAATCTGTGTATTCACACCGCTAGGATTTGTGCACCTTTGCATTTAAAAGCAACTCAGCGGGAAAGTGAGATTGTGCCACTCTGGGCATGCACGGTCCAATTGTCTCTGAAGGGAGAGAACTTTCACACCTGAAACCCATGCCTAGGAATTTCTGAGTCAAAGCTCTGTGCAGGTAGAAAACTCAGCAGTGTGATGCACAGAGACCATGAAGAGGTAACCCCCAGAAGTATATCTCTGGCTGCGGTCACACGGAGCATTAGCCACGCTACAGAGACGGAAGATAGGTGGATTTTCCGGGCACGATCAAACCGCAACATCTGGGAAGCGTAGAGCTCCCATGGCGAACCCGAGGCTTCCCGCCAAAGATGCGCCGTAAAAAACTAGTACCTCCGAGTACTAGTTTCCGGAAACCGCGGGACAAGGGCGGGCATCTGATCACGTTTCTGGTGGTAGCTCGTGGCATCCGGCGCCCACCCATGTCCCGTCGTGAAAAGGTTCCCCCCCCCAAGTCTCCACGGGATGCGCACAAGCACCCAACGGCGCATGCGCACACTTCGGTTAAAACACACACACACACCCCACCGCACCGCTTCTTTGCCACGCTGCAGGATTGACGTATGATCGGCATCTCCCCCCGAATCATCGGACGTCGGCGGGACGTTTGATCCGGCGGCCGCACGGTAGTTCGCTCCAGGGCAAACAGCCACGCCTCCCCCCCGCGATATCCGGCCCGTGTGACCGGGGCCTCTGAACATCAATTCTTAGGAGGCAAACTGAGGGATATCACTGTCATGTCCTGATTACGGACTCTGGGAAAGCGCTGGCTGGCTACCCTAGGAAACAGGAAATGGGCTACACTGGGAAACAAACTAGAGAGAACTTTGGTCTAATCCAGAGGGATTATTTTATGTCGTTAAAACAAGTTTGGTCTTGGTCGGGTAACTATACTTGGTCACCTGTCTTTGTCATATGCAGGCACTGATTTAGTTCCCACCCACACAAATACCACAGAATTAGGTCCAAGAAATGACCGAGAAAAGTTTGGGCAAAAACTGAAGAGAGTATAACTAGATAACCATCTTAACAAAAAATAAAATAAACCCACTCATGGTGCGGGCAACCACTTCAACCTGACAACTGATACACCGGTGCAGAAGGAGGGAGAAGAAAATAGGCAGGCCATTATCTCTTCCTTTAATCCGGTGCCTTTGACATGCCATAATTAGAGAAAGATTAAAATATGTGATTTATCTCACAGGCGGGCTTTGCAATAAAGCAATAATTAACTGCGAGAAATCTTCACAATAGCCAGGGTTTAATTTTATTTTATTTTTTAATTTTAAGAAGCGTCTGAAAGTACAATAAGTAAAGTTTAAGTCAGGGAGTACTGTCTGTTCCAGTCACCTGGAAATGACCTCAGAACAATTAATGGTGTTTAGCGGGGAATGGACAGAAATTAGAAGCCAAGAGAGAGAATTCCACGGAGGTGTTCTGGTTTTCTTAGGGCAGTGGTGGCGAACCTATGGCATGGGTGCCAGAGGTGGCACTCAGAGCCCTCTCTGTGGGCACACGTGCCATCACCCCAGCCAGTCCCAGACCATCATTAAAGTGTCAAATTCTCTGCCAAATAATTTTAAGTAAATGAAAGCATTTGGGATTGCTTTCCTTACTTTGTTTGGATCATCTTAAGTTAATGTATGAGTTGTTTTTTCTAAAGTAAAACCTCAGTATTCAGGTTAAATTGCTGCATTGGCACTTTGCAATAAATAAGTGGGTTTTGGGTCACAGTTTGGGCACTTGGTCTCTAAAAGGTTCGCCATCACTGTCTTAGGGTTTGGCTTAGTTGAAAGGCAACAACACAGTTTGCTGCTACACAGATGAGCCTGAAAGGAACCTGGGGCTCATTCACATGGATTCTGTGGTCCTGCATTTCTTTTTCCTTTGTGCTCAGTGGCAGAAGTAGTTATTTCTGAATTTATAACAAACAATAGTTAGTTGTTATGAACATACAGGAGTGTTGGATCCTGGTTTGCTGGGGAAATACAAAGTGCAGTTTGCCAGTTTCGATGTACTGGCGAAGTGTGGTTCGCTACACACCCAGAAGCGATTAATTATTATGGCACATGTGAAAGGGATGGGGAGGGGAAGGACTGGATTAACCCCAGACTCCTTGAAGCCTTGTTATGTCTGAACCATGTCTTTCTAAGAACTGTCTATCTCTTTGGAAATACTACTGTATGTCACATACTCTCTCAATCCAATTATATGTCTCATTCTGACTGTGGCGGATAAAGCATTAGTTTTTGATCAGAGAGACTCAAGCTTAAATCCCAACTCAGGACTAAACTCCAGGTGGGGCTTGGAGATATAGAATTACAGCAGAATAAGAAACTGTATACTTTGTGATCTGCAAAACATGTATTATGATATATGCTGGAAATAGACTTAGTTTATATATGAGGTGTAATAACAGAGAAGAAATTGATACTGTATTCTGTCCCTACTTTTATGTTTTGTCTGTTTGGAAAAATAATTAAAAAACAGAATTACAACTAACCTCTAGGCTACAGAGATTAATTCCCCTGGAGAAAATGGCTGTTTGGAGGGTGGACTCTATGGCATTATACCCTACTAGAAATAATGCCCGTTGCGGAATAAATACAACGGGATCTAGAAAGTGGCTCTGGGAGAGTGCTCTGGCTTTGGGCAAACAGTGTCAGTTTCCTGTGGCGACCTCAGCAGGGTTTAATGACAGAGTCCACTGTTTTCTCCAGAGGGACTGATCTCTGCTACCTGAAGAGCATTTGTATGTTTGAGTTATCTGTAGCCCTCACCTGGAGAGTGGTAACCATTGTTACCCATTCTCCTCTCCCCTATGAGGTATGTTATGCAACTGAAAACCCCACCAAAACCCCAACCTCCGTGGGGGGGGGGGGGGGGTTGAGGTGTAGAATGGACTGAAGTCCAATCAGCTTCCATATGCAAAAGACCAGGTTGTCGCAGCAGTTGTGGTGTGGGCGGGACCCGGGCTTTGCCTTCTGATTGGTGGCGATATATGCTGAGGAGCAGTGCCATCAGCCATACACTAAGGGAGTGCATTTTAGAATTAGAACTTTGGCACCCACTATTCAATTATATATAAGGAGAGATTGCGGTCCCTCCCCTCCCCAGGCACTGTCCCCAAATCTCCAGAAATTTCCTTACCCAGAGTTGGCAACCCTAACAGATGACCATGGCGCGCGCACACACACACACACAGAGAGAGAGAGAGAGAGAGAGAGAGAGAGAGTAACACTTTCTCTTTCTCACATCTGGGAAAGGATGTAGCAGCCCTTCCATTGCCACTCTTCCATGCCAGACCACTGCCTGTGACGCTGCTTTACAGCAGGAGCTTCTTCACACATCTTCTGCATGTTACATGACTCAACCCTGAAAAAGTTACCAGTGGCTGAAAAAGCAGATCTGGAGAGAGAGGCCAAGAAGTATCAGGAGTTGGCAGTCATCCAAAGCTTCATTGCACCCTACCTGCCTGCTTGCAGAACTCCTGATATGCTGAAGAGGCCAAAGTCTGTGATCACCACCTTGCCATTGTCATAGAACACATTTTTGGACTTGAGGTCTTTGTGGAGAATTCCCTTTGCGTGGAGGTAACCCATGCCCTGCAAAAGAAGAATGGAGAGAAACGGAAGCTGAAAGACTTGCTTAGAAAACACCGGCTTTTGTTTCTTCCGGAAAATACTGCACACACAAAATGCAACCAAAGGCCAGCTTAGATAGAATGGGATGGTCTTTTAAAAACTAATGTGTACGTTTGTCCATGCCCAACACCTTCCCCAAGAACAGGGGACAGACACGGCTTCTCAGAGTTCTGCCAGGCCTTAATTGCTACCGGAATTCCCCTTCAAAAGGTCATCAGTTTCCCAGTTGTTGGGTCACACCTAGAAGAGAAGCCCCCCATCTCTGCTGAACATGGTGGACCCCTCAGGGTTTGGAAGCCACTATCGGCTGGAAGGCGAGGCTGAGAGTGGGGGACTGATCTGGGATGCTCTTCCCACCATCCGCTCTGCCAGGTGACCATCACAACTTTCAGTGTATTCCTTGGCCCCCCATAGAGGTTGCGGTATTTTGTTGAAACTTCCTTCATTGTGCAGGTGAAAAAACAGAACCAGCTGCTCTTGCTACTCTTGTACAGTGGTCAGTGGAAATTACATCACTGTATGTTTTGTTGTTTCAATAAAGACATTGTGAAGCCAAGAAAGTCAAGTGATACAAGAGACAGAAGTCAGGGTGTCACAGTGCTATGCAGAGCTCAAATGAATACAGAACCCACCCAAATGTATGCAAGAGACAAGGAAAGCGCGAGGAATGAATAGTTCAAGCAAATCCATGATAAATAATACAAATAATAAAATGAATCCTGCTTCGCCGTTCTCCTTTGGCGTCTACGATTTCAACATTCACAGCCCAGATACATTTCCAAGGCTATTTCTGCTATCCGGAGCAGAAGAATGGACATAATTACCAATCAGCAACTAGTTAAAGGCATAAGGAAAACAGACTCACAGTTAACTTCCTTGAAAAAAAGAAAACAAGTCAGAGAGGATAACAACTGTGATCTCTCTGAGTCTGGAGAGCTGGGGATCTCATTGCTCACAAGTTTCCACTGCCTGGAAGTCCAGCAGCTATTGCTGTCTGCCCCCACCATCTTTCCCTGACATCCTCCCACAACCTCCTTGGAATACGGGTGTTAATAGTCGAGAAGCTTGGCCTGGCGTGGGTGGCAGGGCAAACCATCATTCACCTTCCTCTCGTAACTCATTAAAGCTGTATCGCTTGTGCTTCAGGAGGCGGCCCTGGCTTGAGAACAGATCGCACTTAAGCTGGACTCCACGTCAGTGGGAGGCTGCTGAGGCACAAATATTATTTATGGCTTTAATATACTTCTATTCCATCATTCTACCAAAATGATCTACAACAGGGGTGGGATGGTTTTGGCCTTGGGGGAGTCATCATCTTTCTTTACTGGAATCCCTATCACCAGCTAATGTGTTTGAAAGTTCTGCATAGCCAGAGTGACTATCTGGTTCAAGCACAACTTAGCTGTGTTCCATGATTGTGAGTCTGTGCTCTCTCTTAAAATCATGGGAACTCTTGGAGGATTACATCCAAGTCCACCTAGCCCAGCAAGTTTTACTAGAATCTTCAGCAACCAGTAGGTGCTAGGTAGCTGACCAGAAATTTGTTGTTGTTCAGTCGCACAGTCGAGTCCGACTCTTCGCGACCCCATGGACCAGCTCCTGCCAGGCCCTCCTCTCTTCCGCTGTCCTCTGAAGTTTGCTCAATTTCATGTTTGTTGCATCTATGACACTGTCTAACCATCTCATCCTTTGCCGTCCCCGTCTTCTTTGACTTTCAATCTTTCCCAGCATCAGGGAAAACCAAGTGTTGCATCTAACTGTGATTTGTGACTAGACTGTGTTCTCACCTCAGACACAATAACGTGTTGGGTTGCTCTTGTTCCAATCCATTCCAACAGACCAATCCATTCTCTGCTGAGTTTGTAGCTTACACAAGCAGCTCCCCAGAAGCATGCTGGGGAACACTTGGTGGTGATGGTGGTGATGGGGAACTGCATGTTCCACAAAACCCTGAGTCTCTTTTCCTCGGTGGCTCTTTTTATCAGGCAAAGCAGCTAGCTGTAGGTGACTTCAGACTAAAGGAAACACCATCAGTGCTTACCTTCTCAGAATCTCTGTTGGTTTTATGTCTCAAGGCAAAAAGCAAGTTGGGGATGGGGTCATTCAAAACGTAGAAAAGGCTGGGAGAGACTGTACTTAGCCACACTGGCCCTATCTCTTCCCAGTCCTACTCAGACCACTTTACCCAATAAGAGGGAGATCACAAGGTGTGTGAAAATTACAGGACTAAATATAATACACAATTCAGCCCACCGCTTATGATCTCAGGGCCATACAAGACATGATGTGGGATATCCAGGATCTGGCCTAGTCTATTTAAAAAAACAAACAAAATCATATGGGGCTGCTAAGTGGATCTGGGATGCAGAGTGTGGGTGGTGTTTAACCCTTTCCTCCCATGCTGTTTCCCTGGTCTAAATTCCTCTCCTTCACCAAATTGTTATTTGTTCCACTTAGGACAGGGGAGACACATACAACAGCTTCACCTCCCCAACCCAGTTGATCAAATACTGTTTTTTAAAGATCTATACTAAACTCCTAACCAGAACTACAGGTTTCCAAACCACTGACTTAATTGGTCTTAAGAGGACGTAACTCCTGTTTAGGACTGCATGGCTGATCATGCCTAGTTTGGCCGTCCTTCACCAAGTGGGAGGCCAACTGCTTCCTTGTGAAAATGAGCTTCTCATCATCCCAGCAACCATTGACAGGATGGGATGAAGGAAGCAATTTGGATTTTCCAAGGGATGGTGAGCCTCATTAGGAGGGCAGAAGGGATTTTTTTTTTTTGCTGCACATATTTCACACTTTAATGGGGAGGGAAATGTTGCTGAAACCGAAGGGCCTATTTTGAATGGGGGCACTTGTAGATGGCTTTTTCCTCCGTAAAAACACAGCTGCGCATGGCACCTAATTACACAAACCAGTGGAAACTGCCATGATAATCTGAAAGTGAAAATTATAAACGAATCAAAACTAAGGCTCAAAGAAGCTTCAAGGCAGTCAGAGAATGGTTATTTGACCTTGGGAAGTGGGGAGGGGGGGCACAGCCACTCTGGAAACAGACTGTGCTGCCACACTTCAAAGGAAACAGAATCTCCATGCGCAAGTTCAGCTGGATCTTTGCCAGCTGCAGACGGTTGCCAAATAAGATTGCAAAGGTGCTCAATTACTTTCCCCCTTCTTATGCTTGGTATGACACCTGCAGAAAGAAACTGACTACACTGATTAACCCCTTTGTTTCCTAAAACACCTTATTCACAAACATTATTTATATAGCACCATGGCTGTAGGTTTGGGAGACCGGCATGAGACAGACCAAGCCACAGAGACTTACTGTTCTCAACCAGAGCCAGGGCCGTCTTCGCCCTGGTGCCTACTTGGTGGAACTCCCTGCTGAATGACATCAGGGCCCTGTGGGACTTAACGCAATTCCGCAAGGCTTGTAAGACAGAAATGTTTCATCAAGCTTATGGTTGAGGACATCAATGGGTTCCATCTAGCCTGGCTCCTCCTTCCTCCTCCCCCATCCCCCCCGAAATGACCTCTGTATTTATGCACCATTTGTAAAGTTCTTTGCTGAATCGTCTAGGTTGTTTTAACCGTTTTTAACCCAGGGATCCCAGCCTCCAGTTGGGACCTGGAGTCCCTCCAGAATTACAGCTCATCTCCAGACTCCAGAGATGAATTCCCTTGGAGAAAATGGATGCTTGGGAGAGTGGATTCCATGGCATGGTACCCCACTGAGGCTTCTGTCCTCCCCAGGCTCCATCCCCAAATCTCCAGAAGTTTTCCAACTTGGATCTGGCAACTTTACCCCCCATCCCCTGTTGGTGGCCGGGGGGGACCTGGCAACCCTATTTTAACCTAATATTTGATATTTGAATTTATATATTAGAAATGTTGCCCCCTCTGCCCTGAGCCCTGTTGCACAGGGGAGGGAGGCTTATAAATCAAATAAATCAAACAAATACAGAGTATTTTGTTTGTTAGAATTGCATTTTGTTATTTTTATAAGCAGCTTTGGGTCCTTATTAGGAGAACAGGGTTGAGACTAAAAAAATTTAAAAGTAGCTTAAGTCGGAACAGTTGGCAGGATCCTTGGTAATGCTTTCTCTCTCCTGGATTCTCCTATCAAACTCCCCCTGTATAGTAGATGGCTCCTCCTGGCTCACCAATTTCTTTCAAATGGTTCTGCATCCTTGTGCAGCTAATCACAGGGGAACCCATTCAGTCAAGCATAATTAGCCAAACCAGAGAGAACTGTTAAGCTGCAGTAGGCTGACCTGTACAGCCAGGTCCTCTTCTTCTACCTTCTCCTATTTCAATGGAGACTGTAGTCGGGTTTGAGCTACACATCACAAGGCTCTCAAACCTGAACTCGGTTTGGTGATGGCTGACATGCAGGTCCTAATTCCAGAGGAGAATTGGGAAATTCCCTTGCAAACAAAGCCAAAATAAACCCAGCAAGGAGAATAACAGTTTGAGAAGAAAAGTTTCAGGGAGGAGACAGATTAAGAACACAGCAACAACTGAGGACTTGTGGAGCAACTCCTCCTCTCCAAATGTTCCCAGCTGCCCCATATTAGTATTACCTGGAGGACTCAGGGAGCATGTGCCAGCAAATCTAAAGTGTCATTCTGGTTTCTCTAGCTATCCATCCATTTATACCTTTCATGCATTTATTTACTTTATACATTTAGAATCATAGAATCACAGAGTTGGAAGGGGCCATACAGGCCATCTAGTCCACCCCCCTGCTCAATGCAGGATCAGCCTAGAGCATCCCTGACAAGTGTTTGTCCAGCCGCTGCTTAAAGACTGCCAGTGAGGGGGAGCGCACCACCTTCCTGGGTAGCTGATTCCACTGTTGTACAACTCTTACTGTAAAAAAGTTTTTCCTAATATCCAGCAGGTATCTTTCTGCCCTTAATTTAAACCCACTGTTGTGAGTCCTATCC